AAATACATTATTTTACACTTCAGTACAGAAGCGGTTGTGTTTTTATAGAGGTTTTCTTAGAATCTAGCATGACTGATAACTAACCTTTTTCATGATAGAGACACACCCATCTGCTTGACGTTTCGGTCTGGAAAATATTACTATAAACCCGAACTATTTATTCTATTGTACATATATTATATTAAATTTTTTTTTAAATTACCAATTTTTGAATAAATTTATAACATTTTTAAACTTATTTTCAAAGTACAGAAACATTTATTTAAAATTATTATTAATTAAATTTACAATGGATACGTTTGAGGAACCTTGAATAACCCTCTTTTAACATTAAATTTGGTGGACCTTAAGATTACTGAGAAGGTTCACATAAACTATTTAACTTACAGTTATAATATCTCTATTTCTGTCATACAAAGGTTGTACCTTTCTGGCAAATTATTAAGTCTAAACTGTAGTAGAAACACGATATAAAGATATGTAATTAATTATTTAAATCAGCTATCTACGGTTAACTGACTTTTGGGCCACCCTGTTTTTTAAAATTAATTAATTAAACGAAATTTTTTTCGTCCGAAAATTTAAACTTTTAACTGCATAAAATCTATGCTATTATTTAAGTGCATGGTGGTCCAAAACTCAGTTAACACTGGTGAATATGAAGCATAAACTGTAAACGAAAATACGATTTTAAAATATTATATATATATATATTTAACGAGAAAACAGCCTTAAAATTAAAAGAAACATAAAGAAAACATGTGTTCCTCCTTAAGAAAAATACCATTGTTTATACAACTTTATCACACATTTCTCTTGATAAAAATATATATAATTTTATAATGTTTATAAATATATAATTAGTTTATCGATTGATTCTTTCCTGTTTACAATGTTTCAAGTCAGAGAAAGATGAATTTATGTATGTAAATATAAAAACCCGAAAAGTCACTTGACTTTAAAAATACCATTAACTACTATACTGTTGAAAAGAAAGAGAGAAAGGAAGGAAGAAGGGAGGAAAAAAAAAAAAGACAAAGAACCATTACAGATTTATTGATTTATTTTACTGGATTTCCCAAGTCACGGACCACGTGGTAATCAATCACGTACAACTAGGTCACATCTGATGACAGTGTGAACGATTGGTCTAGACACCAACCCCTCAACACAACAAATGCACCAGAGGAGATAACGTGCCTTTTCTGCAAACAAATTGTTGGTAAGATTGTTATGTAATCCCTCTAAAAATTCTTCACATAGTAATTTATAACAAGTTTAAAGTATTTTTTAATAAGAAAACACTAACAGAAAACAAAAAAAAAATTAATACAGCATCACGAAAGATGACTTAATTTAAAAATCAAAATTGAACGTTGCTCCATTTTTTATTAAATGGAGAGAATGTTGCCATAAGAAATTTTAAAATCGTTTTTAGAAAATTAATTCAAGTGAGATGTTTGCAATTTATTATCTCACTTGATTTCTTCTTCTTCTCTTTATTTTTTTATTATCTCAAAGAATATGAAAGGTTATACGAGTTTTGCAATGTATTTAACTAAAATCGATCGAGAGTATACTGTCATAATTGCAGACATAAAATTGCCATCATGCAAGATTGTCAGATGGGGTAATAGATAGTAGATGAAGCTGTCAAAGAAAGGAAAACAACAAGAAGTATCTACTAATATTGGAAAACGATAAACTGCTGTTTAACGTATGAAAATTGCACACGAGAAAAAAAATATATATATATACACATTACAAATAATTAAATTGGTATCTTTTTTTTTCTCGTGCTAAATTACAACGAAAATTTTTTGATATATTTAAGCACTTAATAGTAATTTTAATAATCCTCATTAGTGAATTGTCGTAAATTTCGAGATTTTTCTTGATTATTAGCACATTATCATTTTGTGGAAAGCAAATGTTACGCTATTTAATAACGTTTTCTGAAGTTTATAAGAGAAATTATGAGCGATGATTAATATCTAATGAGCTACTTACAATATATCAATGTGTCAATATAATCCGCTATACTTAACAATTCTCACGATATGATATGGCCATTTTAATAATTTAACATTATTTTAAGATTTAAATATGTATTTTTTTTTTTTTTTTAATGTTTATCCTTTATTATCTCTTCTCTTGGTTAATTCTTACTTTACATGTTTGACAATTAAAATTGTTATAATGTATTAGAAACTTAAAAGGATTTTCTATTATATTTTTAATAGTCTACAATGAGGATTAACATTTGTTTTTATTAAGATGATGTTTATTTTCATTACTTTAGTTAATATTTGAAAAAAAAAAAATAAAATTTAACTTTATAAACACCAACAATATTGGGATTTTAACACATTAACGTGTTGTATAACACGTTAATATGCTATGTTTAACGGTTATGACTGAAGTTATAAATGGTGGTATAAGTACAGTACATCACTATATTGTTTCTTAGATGTTTAAGTTCTGGCATACTCTACTAAAACACGAGTTGTAATTAGCCCTATAATTAGACCCTTATTTAATATTAAAAGTTTATACTGTTTCCGTATGTAACGCCAAGAATTTATGCTGTTTTATACATGAAATATCAAGAGTTTATACTGTTTTCTTGTATATCAAATGTTTATGAACAATACCAAAAGTTTGGCTTATGCAAAATGGGGTCCAGATCTTATGAGGATTTATAAATTTATATATAAATAAATAAATACAATTTTAAGTGTGTTTAATTATTTATATATAACAAGATTTTGCTTAGGGCCAGAAATTTCCTTAATTAATCAGGCTCTGTTTTCATGAATAATACCTAAAGTTTATATTGTTTCTACTATAGCAAAACTCCTAATTACAATTATATAAATCAGGAATTTATGCTTTTTTCTATATTTTCTTACTTATAAACCCTATTCCTAATATATATTATGGATTTATACAGCCACCACAATAAATGAAAAAGCATTATAAATACATACACATGAAGTATAGATTGAGTTTACAGTATTATGTATATAATAACATTTAGGAATTTTATGTTAAATTATTATTCTCGTGTAACTGCGAATAAAATAAATGTAATATTTTTTTTATCAATTTTCTACAGAAAATATAGAAAATGAGAATTATTACGTTTGACAGATGTCCCATCTTGAAATTTAAGAAGTTAAAATTGGAAAATAGAAGAAATAAAATTTCTAGAAATTTGAACTATATAAATCGGGGAGGGGGGGGAAATATATATATATTAGATGTTGTACGTCATAAAATTTCAAATAAAACACTAAAAAATAGTTTTAAAACCTCTTAAAATAAATATTTTAGATGTATTTTTATTAAATTTATATACAATTATGGTCATTTTTTAAGACAAATATGTCATTAAAGTAAAAAAATAAAAAGAATTTTATTGCTTTTAATGCTTTAATTTTCTTTTATTGTTCATTTATTCTTTGGAATTTCTCATTGCCTCTTAGATAATTGATTTTTAACTAATTATAAGTTTAATTATTTCATTATCTTGATTAATTTTAAAACTTTTATAGGAACATAAAAATCAAAATTACTATTTACAAAGTGTTATTGATTGTAAACTGTGTAGACTACAACTTTTAAGAAACTATCACTTATATAATACAAAAGATTATAGAAATTAATCCTTTATTTATAGGATTAACAGGATAGGAAATTACATTGAAAGTTAATATTTAAAAAAAACTGTTTTTATAGATTGTTAACTCAAAATTAAAGCATTAAATTGCTGTTGTTGACTTGTAATTTAGAGTTGAAACTTTAATAATAAAAATTAAAATGTTAATGATTATAAACTATGTGCATTAATTTTAATTTAAAATAAATAAGGAATTAATTAATTTTTATAAAAGATGATTTGTAATGTTTAATGATGATAAAACTCATATTGTTACTATTGCTGCTACTATAAAATATTAATGTAGAATTAAAGCATTTAAGTATAACTGTTGTTTCTAAAGATTATTGATTTAGATCTAAAGCTTTAATTACTGTTACTGTTGTTGTTTCTCTACATTTAAAGCATTATTAACTGTTGTTGCCATAGATTATTTAATTTAAAACTGAAGCATTTAACTGTTATTTCTGTGTATTTCTTAATTTATAATTAAAACATTAACTACTGTTGCTGCTTCATTAATTAATAGCAATTTCTTTCAGCAATCTTCCATCTAAAAATACAAATTTTCAAAGAAACTAAATAGTATAAAGAATCAATAAGTCATAAAATATCATTATATTAACAGTGATATTTNGCAATCTTCCATCTAAAAATACAAATTTTCAAAGAAACTAAATAGTATAAAGAATCAATAAGTCATAAAATATCATTATATACTTTTTTATTTCTTCCATTTTTTTTTAAATAAAATTTGTTACACAAAAAAGTATAAATAAAATAGAATCATGAATACATTACACAGTGAAAACAAATATCAAATAACTGAAGAATCACCATGTCTTTCTTGGAAAACAAGTTGTTGTTAAAGATATACATATATATATATTATATATATATATAAAACGACTGCACAACATGCAACAGTTCGTAAAAAATAAGTAAATATTCAATAAAAAGCACTTTTTTTTTAACATCAAAATCACTTGACGGCATATATACTGTATCAGAAAACAGCAAACATTATTTTTATTTATTTTTTTTCAGTTATTCTTCTTTGAAATTTCAATTTTGCACACCCAAATGTGCAGTTTTCTTTAGTAACACTTACCACAATTGTTTTTCTTTGTAAGCACTCTTTATATGAAAATTTTATTCTATCCAATTTATATTATATATATACGTGGGTTTGTGTTCGTGTGTATATTATGTATATGTATTTATAAGTATATATATATATATATATATCTTGTAATCTACCTTTCGTAAGCAGATTTAGATGGTTAAAAATATTCTTTTCACTCCTTGTAACTTTGTAAGCACTCTTTGACTGTCTGGCTGGAGTAAACAATTTTTTGTGTGTGTGTGTGTGTATGTGTTTTTTTTGAGTAATTCAGTATCTTTTTTTTTGAATTAAGGCATAATTCACTTTCTCTCTTGTGACTCAGCAACCTGATTTTTTAAAAATTAAAACTTAAAAAAATGACATCGAAATGAACACTCGACAGTACCTCGTACATAGAAAAGAATGTGCGAAATCAAACTTCTGTTCCTTCTAGAGCACCTTCGTCGTATCCTTCATCCGGTGAACAACAATGCATATCGTGGGATAGAGAAAGATATGCATTGTTTGGTAGAACCAACGGGCTTCTTTTCCAATTGTTATGGACAGGACTAGTATAACTGTGGTAACTTTCGTCTCGAAACGATCCCGTATCACTAGGCTCAGCGTGTGTTCTTTCTATATACTCGGCCTCACTCATGTAGTGTGGAACGTAGTGTGTCGAAGACGGTACATAACGACCAACCCTGTTATTCAACCATTCTAATTCGTTTGACCTTAGCTTATTCATATTCCACGTTTCTTCAGAATCAACATGGTTACTGGGCTTTTGTGGGGATGGGCCATCAATTTCCATAGCTCTACTAACCAGATCCGGTGTTTGTTGATCGGAACCGTAACCGCTACTACCAGTTTCGCGTCTTAAATGTTTATCGTTAGCTGTTATCTCTTTGTCGTTTTTAACTTCTACAGAATTCTGTTTGACGTAAGCTAAGTGTTTTAAAAATCCTACTCCACCTAATTTACTGTCCGACGTTCGTAATACTTTTCTTCTTATCATCACTATGCAAACTAATACTACAATTAAAATAACGAAAAGCAAAATTCCTACCACGAATCCTGCAATCTGTGCGTTACTCCAACCAATCAATGGAACCGGTGGCAAGACAACGGATAAAGTGATGTTTGCTACTGTTGTGCCAGCAGAATTTGTTGCTGCACACGTGTAAACACCCGAATCCTCTTCGGAAACTCTGATAACAATTAATCTACTGTTTTTGGTATCTTCATCCTCCATTTCTTCTTCTTCCAAAAAATATTTCTCTTCCCATGCAAAGATGACAGAACCATTATTAATATCTACACCATTCATTGTCCATGATATTACGGCTTCTGGATTCGATTCTACTTGGCATTCTAATGTGCCATTTTGATATCTTTGAACTTGGACGTCTTCTTCACAATGGATGATCGGAGGGCAACTAAAATCATCCAGTTCAAGATTATTCCATATTTCACCATGAATTCGAGCTGGAAGATCACATTTTGGTGGTAAATTAATTGGAATATTATTTTCCATCATCCATTCTCTAACACCACGAAGATTACAATCGCAGTACCATGGATTATTCTGTAAAGCCAAACCGTATAATTTATTGAGAGGTTTCACGACATGCACCGATAACGTTTTAATCTTGTTGTTATCTAACATGAGAAATTCTAAATTTTTTAAGTCTTTAAATGCTTCCGGTTCGATTGTATGAATCTCACAATTACTGAACTCGAGAAATGTTAAATGAGGTAGTTGAACAAAAGTACCATTATTTATCCTTTGAATGGGATTATGACCCAATTGTAGACGACGGAGTAATGGAAAGTCTTTAAAAATTTGAGCTGGTATTTCATTGAGTAAATTAGCAGTCAAATCCAATTCGACCAAATTTGTCACTTGATGAAAAGCGTCATCAGCAATTTCTCTTATATTACATCTAGACATGTAAATTTTTTGTAAGTTAGTAAGTCCGTTTTCAAGGAATACCCTAGTAGGTAATCCACCAAGATTATTCCTTCTTAAATCCAGTACTTGTACGCCATTTTGTATCCCTGATGGTATATTCGTCAGTGATTTATCTATACATTCTACAGTCTGTTTTCCACTTTTCCACTTACACAAACAAACACTTGGACATTGGGAATGGCTTGTATCTGCAGGCGATATCAGTAATACCAACAGTGCTCCTAAAGACATAATCCAATTGATCGATGCCATCTCACTACCGACTTCGAATATCGACATACAAGGTGCTGAGGGACCAATACCTTCGAGGATAAATGGATGGATGAGTATGTCTTTCTCACTCGCCGAACCTACGCTTTTTCTTTCAACACCACACTTTACTTTTTTCCCCTATGGACTTGGTATGTTTGATCATCTGAGAGCTAGTTGTCCCACTTCTTACATATCTTTCCAGAGTGTTTCGATGATGAATTCCGAAATCTGGACCACCTACCAAATAGAGTAAAAAGAAAAACACTGTATTACATTACACACAATATTTATTCATACGTACTTCTATCTCATCAAAGCGTAATAAATTAAAACAATAAAACTAACGCTCGACATAAATCTTAATTAATTAAAGAGGAGGAACGAAAAAAAAAAAAATCCAACGTTGAACACCACTTCCTCCTCTTTATTAATTTAATCAAAATTAAAGTAAATGGTATTAAAATAATTTAAATAGGAGAAAAAAAAATGCCAGAGTTTTCCGTAAAGATCTTTAATATTTAAACACAATTAAACCATTCGATGAACCTATTTAAATTACAAGTTATCGAACTCCGCCCTCTCTCCATAGACGCATAAAGTGTAAAGATGGTGCTCCGCCCAATCTCCCTAGGGATCGTTTCGTGTATCGATGACTCTTCTTGAAACCATTTAAAAACAATTGACGTTTTCAATACACTGATCGTACTTTAGATAAATAATTCCGTGCTTATAAAATTGAGGAAAAAATTGTAGAAAAATCAAGAGTAATTTAGAAATTCCTCTTAATCAATAATATCTACTACTGTTTACGGTAATTTACTAGGAATTTTACAGGTTTTAAGATATTTTTATACCCTTTTTTTAAATATATAGGCCTGTATATAAACATGTAAATCGTCGTTCTAAATTATTTTTCGATTTAATTTTCTTCTCTTAAAAATCTATTTTTCTCACGTCCTCGTTACATTTTTAAACTAATTTTCTTTCGTAATTGTTTTAAAAATAAACTAAAATTAAATCCCTTATTTAATATATAGGTTTATGGATTTTCCAGTGTATAAAATGTGTTAAAATTTTAAATTATTTATTAAAAAAAATTAATTTTTGTAAGATAATTCGATACGTTTATAGTCTTTCATTATAAAGTTTAAGTAAATATATATATTTCTTTATTAAAAAAGTTCTTTTGAATAAGTTTAAATTAAAAACAAGCACGAAAACCATTAAAAAAGTATATAAACATGTAAAAAAACACATTTATAAGATGAATTTCTTAGAAAATTTATAAACGTATCGATAGTTTTTACGTAATTAATCGATTAGTAATTCATTAATATCATTTACAGTAGGGGGATCCGGGTTCGAATCTCATTTTGATCTTTAATTGTTGCCATCTGTCACATGCCAACATATGGAAAGTAGAAATTATGACATGGAACCTTGCACTAGATGAATAATACAACTCGCTATTCATTTATGATTAATTAATATATAAATAATATATTATACTTCTCAAATTGAACGTATCATAATCCATATATTAATGTTTATGAGTACAAACAAAGAATAATATTATTAATAAGAACAATGCATGATAAACATTAATCATGGCTAAACTATTTAGTTTGGTATATAAATTTTTATTTACTTGGTTTATTTACATCTAATTACATAAAAATACTTGCTTAATTTATTTGTTTTTATGATTTTTTTATTTATTATAAGCAAATATATGTATTTTTTTCTGGTGTAAATAAGTATGATAAATGCCTAATGTACACTTCATAAAAGCTTACATACAGTTATGCAAGCTTATATATTTTATACTGTACATTTTTATGCTTTGTTTTTACATGTAAAAAAATGTTAAAACGTATAAATTTAAATGCATACGTGTATAGACATTTAAAATGCGCTCATACATCTATACTAAGTAAATGAACTTTTAACTCTTGTCAGTGGTATAAAACAATATATTTTTACATTTTTCACATCTAAAAATACATTTTAATGCTTGTTAAATGTAAAAATTAAAGCATTTATGTAGCATGTATACAGCATTCTCATAAATGTGTCCTATAAGTTACAGTAGACCTCCCTATAACACTGTAGATAATTCCGTGTTATATAAATTCCATGTTGTATGAGTCACTTAGATTTTACAAATACGTGTGCCGGGCTGTGAACAGCTCACGTATTTGTAAAATCTAAGTGACTCGTACAACATGGAATTCATATAACATGGAATTATCTACAGTGTTATAGGGGGGTTGACTGTGTACTTACACAGAGATATGTACTAAGAAGCTATACTAAAAAGTATATTTTTACAAGTAAAATACTTCAAATTAAAAAATGTATATATTTTAATTTATAAATATACAAGTGTATACATTAATAAATGAGCTTATAACACTATAAAACTGTATTGAACATCACGTTGTTTTTTTTACGTCTGTATATTATAATAGAAACGTATTAAAATTAATATAACAATTTAAAAATATATCTACTTACGTAATAAAGTAATCATAAGTTAAACTGTCGTATATATATATATATATATTACTTTACAGACATATACACATCACTGTAAAACAGTAATATACAAGCAATCAGATGTGATCGTTCTCTCTTACATCTTGCAATGACAAGTCATGTGATTGATGATTCATTTCTATAAATCACTCATTTATACTGCACTACTCGTGATCCNTAATAAAAACAAAAAGTTAAACTGTCGTATATATATATATATATATTACTTTACAGACATATACACATCACTGTAAAACAGTAATATACAAGCAATCAGATGTGATCGTTCTCTCTTACATCTTGCAATGACAAGTCATGTGATTGATGATTCATTTCTATAAATCACTCATTTATACTGCACTACTCGTGATCCAAAAAAAAGTAATAAAGAATTTCGTATAAAATTAGATATTTTTCGAGTGTTTTTAATGTGTTTATGTTATTTTTTCAGGTCAAATCACATAAAAGAACTTCTACTAAAGCTTCTGCTATTGGTTAATACGTTATTTTTTTTTTCTTTTTTTTTGAATTAAGTGGAATTTTAAACTTAATTATATGATAAGATCACGATTCTTTTGATGTGGTGTATCAATTACAAATATTCAGCAGTGTCTCATGCTATTATATTTATTTATAAATCTATTACTAATAAGGAAATTGTAATAAAAAAATCTAATTATCATAATTAAAAACAAAAAATATATATATAAATAAGCTAAGTGTATTTACTTGGTATGATTAAGTGTGCTTCCTGTTTATTAATTTATATTATTATTAATAAACAGGAATAATAATTTAAATGTTTTTTTTTTTTAGATGTAAAATTATATTCTAATGTACATTACTTTATGTACTTTTTTGATATTATACTGTGGTAATTTATTTATTCTGATAATATTTATACAAATTTACATGTATTAATTAATTGTACTGATACTGATTTAAATATACAGTAGTACTATTCTTTATAGTTTTCTGTGTTAATTTATATACTTATACTAATGTTAACAGTGGAAATTAAGTTTAGATTAACTAAATATACAGTCAAACCTGTGAATAACGACCACTGAAAAGTCGTTGTTCGGAGGTTTCGACTGAAAAATGGCTGCTGTTTAGAGGTGGCCATTGTTAGAAGTTCCACTATGTGTTTAAATATACAAATTACCTAAGAGTAACTATTTTATGTACTTTCTAACAATACAGTACTTGATATCATGTTTCGTACTTTAATACTTAATTTTTACTTACTTTTCATTACTCCTCATTCTAACTTGTACACCTTTCTAACAATACTTGCTTTTAAATTCAACACTTGGTAACATAATATCGAAACATAATTTACATACGTCCAAGCAAGACTACTGCATATTTATATACCTTCTAACATAATGCTTAATACTTGGCTGGCAAGTTTACCAGCACCACATCTGAAACTAATTTACTTACTTTTCAACAAAGCACTTGACACTAAATTGATTACTCATTTCTAACATTTGCCAATGCTTAAAAATAGTAACTTATGAATTAATTTTAGTTATGTTTGGACAAAGAGGCACCAGGCCACTCACAAAACTAATTTACAATCGCCACTTAAATTTATACAAGACGTTTCCAAGTGTACAAACTTTAAAAGTCTCTGTCCTTGACCAGGCTTGAAATATCGAATACACACGTGAAAAAAAAAAACAATAAATATCAATTTTATTTTGCCTTTTTTTAAAAAAAAAGTTATAACTTGTTTTGATCGTGGAATGTCGATTTAAACTTTTGTATTTTTAAAAACTAGTGGGGGGTGTCGACTGTTAGGAGTCCAACTGCTGACCTCACATCTGTTAAACTCGTCTTACCAGATGTTCAAAACAAGAAGTGCTTTGTTTGTGTGTGCTTTTACTATATAACAGGAAGCAGACTTTTGTAAACAGCTCTGAATTTTTGTATCTAACTTTACTGTATATTAAACTAATATTTACTTACAGAAACGAGACGACTAATAATATATAATATAAATTAATTTATACAATAAATAAGGCCATTTTCTTTGTGTAAGATACATGAAACTGTTTAAAATCCTTAATTAAATACTTAAAACACAGGTAAAATTACACTCAAACTTTTTTTGAATAAACTCTTTTATAATACCAGTAAAGTACATAGGAAATTACCTTAATTACAGGCTTAATATGGAATTAAAATTACGTTTTAATTGTAATTAATGAGAGTATTTAACCAAAAACATTTACAGCTGTAATTTTAAGGGTTTAATTAAGGATTTTAACACAATTTCCTATACTTTTAAACCAGTTTTTGTACTAAAGAAGAATGGCAAATTATGTTAAAAGCCTTCAATTAAGTACTTAAAATCGAAGTAAAACGTAGAATTAAATTTTTTCTGATAAATAATTTTCCTAGTATTTATGATAAGGAAGCATAAAGAGTAGTAAAAACAATATAAATAATTTATTCCGTTTGTGGTTTAGTGATAAGGTTTTATATTATTTCCTATGGGAAATTGGTTGAGCAGTAAAAAAATAATTTATAAGCTTACAATTATTCTTAGCGTGACGAATTTTTGCTTATGTTCAAGAGTAAAATGTTTTATATTAATGAACTTTCGACCTATCTTTGATTATATTATCTTATATATAAAGTTAAACAACAAGGCAATAAAATTATCCAAGCAGTTAACGTAAGAATTTCTCAGAAAATCCCATAGGGACATCTAAAAATTGGTTATTTTGTATTCAGAATATACTGTACGATTTTTCTTTTGTTTAAATATTGTTGTAAATTATAAATAAATAAAATTTAATGTAAAATAAATTTGAAAAACTGTAAAATTATCTTCTAAAATACAATCTTATGATGATTTTTTATTTATTCATTAGATTTTAAGTTTCAGGGAATTTTTAGATTTTTAGCTTCAAGGATTTCTTTAGAATATTTTCATTTTCAGGGATTTTTAGAAAATATTTTGCTTTAGGGAATTTTTAGAATATTTTGCTTTTCAGGGATTTTTTAGAATATTTTCATTTTCAGGGATTTTTAGAAGATATTTAGCTTTAGGGATTTTTAGAAGATATTTAACTTTAGGGATTTTTAGAATATTTTCATTTTCAGGGATTTTTAGAAGATATTTAGCTTTAGGGATTTTTAGAAGATATTTAGCTTTAGGGATTTTTTGAAGATATTTAACTTTAGGGATTTTTAGAATATTTTCATTTTCAGGGATTTTTAGAAGATATTTAGCTTTAGGGATTTTTAGCAGATATATTTAGCTTTAGGGATTTTTAGAAGATATTTAACTTTAGGGATTTTTAGAATATTTTCATTTTCAGGGATTTTTAGAAGATATTTAGCTTTAGGGATTTTTAGAAGATATTTAGCTTTAGGTATTTTTTATAATATTTTCATTTTCAGGAATCTTTTAGAAGATTTTCAGCTTCAAAAGGGAACAAATCACCCTCAAAATCTTTACGTAAAAAATTAAATATAAAATAACTATAGAAAGTCCTTCGTTGTTTAAATGCTGTTCTAAAAACAGTCTATAAAATTCAAGTGTAGAAAATATTTTAGAAAATATCCTACACGAAAAACACAAACCAGGAGGGATAAGAACACCCAAAAGTATTATATTAAGCATACATAAAATACAAAAAAACATGTAAAATAACCTTGAAGAAAACCACGTTGTGGGGATTTTTACGAAGATTCTCAGCCTTAGGAATGTAGGGGAGAGAAAATATCCCAAAAATATTTTAGCAGGGGGAGGGAGATCTTGAAGAAACACCAGTACCCCACACACACACACAAATACAGAAACCAAGCCGATTTTCTTAAATTAAATTTATTTATTTATTTATTTAAATCGATAAAACCAATCTAAAACTTAAACGTCACGATTAAGATAACATTTTAATCAATTATTTTTACTTTATTATTATTTTTTTTTTTTACTTTTTACAGCCGTATCGATTTATTAAAGTTAACAATAACATACACACACACACACACACACACACACACACACATATATATACACAATTCAGCATGCAAGACAGAAGTCAATAAAGTAATAAATGCTGTAAAAAAACAAATAAATGCTATAGTAGACTTTACTGAAAGAAGTAAAGTGACTATAATATTGATTAAACTATACGTTTAAAGGGTATATAGTACTGAAAAGATGGTAAATTATTGCATGGAAACAGTCTCCACCCATAACGACTCCACTAAAGTATTCGACCAGCTGGGTTATTTGTCACTGTCAGACATCCTAACGTACCATGCTCTGTGAACTACAGCACATGCTAACAGCAAAAACTCTACCTAACTTTTACTGGATCTACAATAAGCAACTTTGTGTCTATCAAACGTGTGTGTGTATGTGTGTGATGTGTATCGTGCGCGTGCATCATTAAAAAAACACAGAAAAAAAAACACAGTATAAAAATATTTATACTTCATTTATAGATTTAATGGAAAATAATTGAAGATTTTTTTCCTGATAATTATAATTTTTTTTATTATTATTATTTCAACAGTAAAATGTCAGGAATGTTTTTTATTATTATTTTTTTTTCTAAAAAAAAAAGTCAGTCGATATGTATTTGCTTAATGGATAGAATATTGTGACTTTTTAGAATCTAACGATCACGATATCACGTTATTATTATCTTAAAATAATCATTTGTAATTGTAATTAATGATTTTTTTCGAAGGTTTAGACTGCGCTTTTATTTTTTAATTTAAATAATGGTAATTGCCATTTTGTTCTGCAATAATTCTAATTAAGCTTTCAAATAAATTTTATGCGCTTAACTTACGTCTAAACTTTGTTTTTTATTTATTTTATTTTATTTTATTTTAGAAAGTTCAATGATAATTTTAAAAAATATAACAAATTAGTATTGTTATTTATGTGTTTAATAGTGTAGAATCTGTGCTAAATTCTAAAAAAAAATTCATTTTTCTTGTTGCTTATGTGTTAAATAATGCCCTTGAACACACGTTAAATTCTAAAAAGTTCATTTTTCTTGTTGCTTATGTGTTAAATAATGCCATTGAACACACGTTAAATTCTAAAAAGTTCATTTTTCTTGTTGATTATGTGTTAAATAATGCCCTTGAACACACGTCAAATTCCAAAAAAAATGCATTTTACTTGTTGCTTAGTCTCTTTGAACTTGTGTTAAATTCTAAAAAAAAAAATTACATTTTTGCTAATAGTATGTTAAGTAGACCTACTAAAATCTATATTAAATTCTAAAAACACGCTTAATATAATTTTTTTTTTTTTTGGTGAAAAGAAAAGAAAAATCTTAATTTTTTTCTGTTTATTTACTTTGTTTTTTTAAATATATTTTCACAAAAATTATAACAAATTTTCTTTACTTTTGTCGTCTTCAGGAGGACCAAAAGAATTTCTTCTAAAAAAAAAAAATCTAAATGATTCGTCACAATTTTTAGAAAATTGTAACAAGTCATTCAGATTGTTAAGAACTTTCTGTTTTTGCCATTTTCATGAAAAATTCTATTTTTTTTAAAAAGTTTTTTTTTTGCCAATTTTCCAAAAATATAACGAGTTTATTTGTCTTTTTTTTATTTTTATTTTAGATTGATTTTTATAAAAAAATTTTTTAAAAAGTTGTTTCATTCTTTTCTCATTTTACAGCGAGTCTAACGAGTTTATTCAGTATAAAAATACTGTATTTATATGTATAAGTTACTATATTTAAGTAAGTAACTTGTTTTTATAGTGTTGTTACTTCAAATTATTTCCGTAAACATATATTAAATAGATTTAAAAATTAAAAAAAAAAAACATATATATAATAATTTTAAAGATTTTTAATAATTATTTTAAATTGTATTTGTTATTCTGTTAGAAATGATGTTGAAGTTTGTTTATAACAGGATTTTTAAGTCAAAAATTTGTCTGTAAAATAATTTTTTATTTAAATTTCGTGTTTATCAGACAATTTTCGAACATAAATTTATGTTTTTATAATACCTCTTGAGCAAAATTTTGTATTTAACACAACTTAAAAGACATAACATATAAATTTAAAGCTATATAACAATTACTTTTATAATAAAATAGAGGCCCATAGATCTAAATAATTCTCTCACTGAAAATAATCTTAAATCCTCATTAAATTCCATCCATTTCCTTGTATTTAAAAAAAAATGCAATTAATTTATAATGCAATTTAAAGAGAAGATTATTTATTGATCTGTAATTCATAAAAGTTACCCCCGTGAACTGTGCGGCGAAACCACCATCCAGGGGTATCGAATTGGAAATTTGATTTAATATGCTTCACACTGAATGTCAGAGATGAATTAAATGCACCATATGTTCATTTGAATGTCTATCAAACATTATTAAAACTTGATTGAAATCGTCTTCCCAACTAATTTAAACGTTTAATTTTTCAAAAATTGAAGCTGTAAAAATAGTTACAAACGTTAATTAAGGAGAGAAAGTATTAAACTTGATTCCCATTAACCTGTACAATTTTAAAGTAAATTAATTAATGATAAGTGAATTAAAGTAAGGAGAAAAAAAGGGGGTTTAAAATGTCTTAGTAAACTTTATTTCCTGTGTTTTTTAAAAGCTATTTTCTTGTTAATGGTCATCGACTAACAGTCAGGAACTTAAATTACCTTTAGTAACCCAGAAAGGTATAATGATCCCTACAAAAAAAAAAAAAAAAACTTTTTACAAAACATAAGTTGGTAAGTAACTGAAATGTAATTAGTAGTTTCATGCTAGACTATAAATCTCTCACTAACTACTCTAGAGACAGACAAAACTTGCTTTAAGTTTATAATGGAAGATCATTAAGTACAGTTTCAGTTCGAAAGACAAAAGATTATTAATCAATAACCCCACCAAAAAAAAATATATATATTATAATAATCACTTGTTCATTTGCTTAGATTAGTGAATGAAGAGAGAAGTTTTGATTATGATCGAAATTTTTATAAAATTATAATTAAAATGATGGAAATGACGTACGAAAGAAGGATATACACAAGAGAGAATGAATGGGTTTAAGGTAGGAAGTGTG